CACTGAGACGTGGCCGCTGTTTCAAAGGGCCTGGCTCTGATTCGACATCACAGTCGTCCATTAGTCGTTTGTGTGCTGGTGATAACACCGTGACGGGGGACACTGACTCGGAGGTGTCACTCCGACTCACTATCAGTGGAGAATGAATTGGTCGGACTTTGTGCGCGGATGCCGTCACGGTTAGGTTATCATACAATCTAATCAATCTACAAGCATCCTTTGCATTTGGGCTCTGAATCTGGAAGTCAACTTGACCTCCCCGGAATAAACTTTGCCTATTATTACCTACCTACCTACCTACCTGCGACCGCCCGCGTGTCCATAAAACGTGAAAGAAAGCTCGATCGAAGATATTGCGTCTCCACTACCTTTTTGGCACACCTCTGATCAATCGGCGAGACATAATTATGCGAAGGTCGCCAAGGAAAAAAATCTGATATTGAGTTAAAGCTGACAAGACGGAAAGGACATCGCGAAATCAGTATGAAGCCGATAAATATGGTCAAACATTCTTCGCGTCTCCGGCGGTTCTGTTGTCCAAGGACTCCAACGACGCTTGACCAGTTTCCACAAATATAATAAAGGTGTTACTATCATATATACAATCCATTAATTGACATGGGATCTATGCGTGCCCAGAAAGCGCCTGTATGTATGTGTCCGTAACGTGAATACAGAATAATTAGTGCAGCAGTCACATTGAGTTTGCACCTCCAGGGATAGTAGTACCTCCCTACAAAGAGGCATTATATGCCCAAGCCCACCCCTTCTTCTAATTTAATACTTCGATCGTGCTTGACAGTCACACTCTCAGGCCTGCTACTTTTATTCGACATGCGCTCCCAGATGGGGTCTACATCCGGTCCGTCGAGGTCCCCTGCGCCATCCCACCCCCAGCACCATACTGTAAAGGGAATCTCTCAGTGTCTTGTTCAATCCAAGACAATGAAGCAAACGTACCGTGGTCAGGTCCTGGCTGAAAGTGGATCTCTCGGCTCTCCTCCTCGATGAATAGTCGGTCGTGTGGGCCGAACCATGTACGGTCTTGTGGATCGGTACGCGGATTATCGGGGAGTCCACCCAGCCGCACATATCCTCTGATAGCTGTCAGGTTCCGTCGTGTCGGGTGTATTATATCGAACACTTTCTGCAGGTTCAGCATTAGAAGTTAATGTGCGCCTGTAGCAATGCATGCACCCACCCGATCATAAGCTAACTTAACCCTCGGAACCATCATAATCCTCCCATACCCCGATTCCCAGTAGTCATTACAAATCAGACTGCACTCGCTAGCACTACATTCTCCCTCCATGATTCTTGCCATTCGGAACCGAACATGCGGTGGGCTGTAAAAGGGTGCAGGGTCCAATATGGCGATACCGTTCCAGCAGGATTGAACTTGCATTGGTAGGTGACGTTGGAAGAGGGACGAAGAGGGTAGGTGGTGAAATATTCGCTCGAAGGGAGCGTTTTCAAGGGCTGTGCCATTTATGTCTCTGGCCACCCAGTTATCGTAGAATACCGGAGCACCCTGCACAAACATGATGAATAAAGCAGCGGACAGTAATAAAAGAGGTTGGACCTACGATCTCGCCATGATACATGTAATCCGCAGCACAAGTAATGCCCGCATTATTCCTCCGACTTTGCCAGATCAACTCCAACAAATCATCTACACATGGCAAGATATCGTTCATGAAGATGATAGTGTCGAAATACTCGCTTTCTGCATCCCGAAGCTCGTGCAAAGGTACGAATGCTGCATTCCGTACTTCGGCCAGGTACTCGATACGATGGTTGAAGGCTCCACGCGTTCGCATGGATGTACGAATCGTCACCCGCATGCCAACGCTCCGGGTGAGGGCGTCAAATATCCGAAGCAGAGCTTTAGTTTGGTCGGTGGACCCGTTCTCATAGATAGAAACAAAGACATTTTGGTATCCCAGGATGGCAGCGACACGGAAGAGCGTGGCGAACAGATCGGGGATTACGTCGAATGAGTTGTAGAGATTGATTGCAAAGAAGTATTTATGTCCCGTCGCCGCCTGAAGGTCCCCCCTCACTCTAGCCGAAACATCCATATCATCAGCATTCAGTCCGAAGCCAATCGCGCGTAACCATGAGGACTGGGAGGGCGATTTATGACCAACAAGAGGAGCGTAACGCTCTCTTGCTTGCTGGACGTATAACGGCTGGGAATTTCGTGTGCATTCTTTGGTGTGGTGTGGTGAGAGGGAGGTGAGGAGCTCGAGGACACGAAAACGCTGATTGATCGTAGGCAGGGCTATCGGCTGCCGAGTCGTAGGGCGTGAGGTTTTGTAAATAGGTGCGTGACCACCTCGCCATGCGGGTGTTGACTGCGATAAAACTCTTAGCGTTATCATCTGTAAATTTTGAAATAGGACTCACATTCCCTGGCAACATATTGGCTATAAGAAGGCCCACCAGTACACCAATTGTGATGGCAAGCGGGGTAGGTATTCGTCGGACTTGCGCAAGGAGCGCTGCCATGTTCGTACTTCTGACATGGACCATAGTAATGCCCTCCAAGGAACAAGACCTGGAATGCTGTCGTCGTAGTCGTCTGGCAGACGGGGTTATTTGCAATTCGAGGGCCACTCCAAGTCCACTCAGTGGTACGTGGATGCCGAGGCAAGCCCCTGACTAGTTGCCTATAAGGAGTTCAATACGTGTAACATGCAAGTCGAGAAGTCTAAGCAATGACATCCAGATAATGTGACAATAATAGACATGAATGGCCCTATGTAGCAAATATCCCAATGATTCTAAATGCAGCGGAACCTTGTCCCTCCTCTCCTAACAACGAACATTCGACAAAATGCGACCCTCGCGCAACATACTGGTCAATGATCTCCAACCTGAAAATTGAATTCGTTAGCCTGTGATGAGGGACATAATGAAAAATACGCATACGCAGGTGTACTTTCGGCAATATCTGCACCGTTCTCGATGACCTTCGCACCTGCATAGTTATCATCAACCCAGCACTCAACTGCACTTCCCTCTCCACCATGCCCTGGCACAATGGGCTCCTTCAAATAGTATACACCAATGTCCCCTGCTCCCACCGTAATCGGTATCCGCAATCTACTAGCCGCTAGCGTCGAGTACCAATAGTGCAATATTTCCGCCTGTCCGGAACCCATGGGCGGATGATATGAGAACCATCCAGAACCGTAAAACAAAGAGGGAGGGAGGGGGTTGATGAGGTCGTTTGCGGACGCGCAGAAGGGCTCTATTTCTTCGAATGGCCGGCCATCGTCTGCACGTGTGTTGATCAGGGAGGAGGGAACACGGAGTTGGGGGTAGACTGGAAGAGGTGCTACTGCTGCTTTTTTTGCGTCGACTGCCCCAAAGTCGGCTAAATCATCGTTATCTTCGTTGGGTGTAGGAGGTGCTACACCCTTCCGCTGTCCTACACCGCCAAATAGACCATGAGGTTCATTGTCGCTCACAGTGACGATCGGCACACTATCATAAGATTGTCCTGTCGCGATGTCCCATGCCAAACATATCTGCGATTGGAAATATGACACTAGAATGTCGGACATTACTTCGTGGCCCTCTGAGCTGGCAAGGACGGCATCGGAGAAGTATTTTTTGATTGATGTTGGCTTCATGATGTATTGAGGATAGATGTGTGGTTTAACGCTGTGCGACGTCAAACATTATGTCTGTGTCATGAAGGAGCATTGGCGAATAAGCCTACCTGACATGTGGGACGTCATAAAATTGGGCAACAATATTATGCCAGATATCTGGTCCTCCAAAACCGGACGTCTGGTGTACTTGTGGGCTGAAATGGCCGAGGATGACGATAGCGGGCTGATCCTCTCTGAGAAGGATAGATCGAACGAGGAGTTCAAAATTTTCCACCGTTTCTCGGTCGCTGCATGCACTGATTAGTATGTGCACATACTGTGCAACGAGAACTTGCTCACGGAGAATCGTCAACATCGAATTCCAGAATGACCAGGTCTGTATAGTCGGGTAGATGATGCGCGTTGCAGAAACCAAAGTATGCGGAGTTGGTGCGGCGCACTGCGCCGTTTGTGAGCTCGGAGGCAGGGTGAGGGAACACTGAGTTCCACCACTGGAAAAAGCGAGAAGGATAGCAGTAGGGTGATATCGGATCATCACCAGCGCCATGGCATGCAGATACTGCGATGGGGGTCGTATGAGCAATTTTCATAGAAATATAAGGAACGTACCAGATCCTCCTAATACACTGATCGTTACTGGCTGGCCCAACAATGCCTTATGTATAACTCTTTGTACTCTGCCTCCGCTGCCCAGGTGCAATCGACTCTGACTCAGTGTCAACGCCCCATACTTTAGTCCTATTTCATCCCCAGGTCCAAACACTGGACAGAAGGCAAACGGGTTCGGTTCTTTCTCCACCTGTGTCTTGTTCAGGTAATTCTTCGACTTGAGTCCAGCTGTTGAGTAATTAAACCGTGGTTGGGGTGTATGGTGAGGTGGTAATATGTAATTTGTGAATGCGATTAAGAAGAGAAAAACAAATACGATGACCCATATTCGATTTGTGACACCGAATGAACGCTGATTTAAACGCGAGGTCTTTTCGGAAGACGGACGCATGGAAGGGTATTGGCCTGTGGGAGGCGCTATGGCCATCCCCTTTCCTGCGCGTCGTTGCATGTGAGGAGGAGCCACGGTGTTTTATGAAAGGGACAGGGCCCCGTCCAGGGGAAATCGGAGGCAGATTGGCGTTTGGTGGCAATCCCCGGCAGCCTTGCTTCCCAAAATGGCTACGACGGCCGCTTGACGTTGTACACTTACACCTTATGATAAGATAAACCACACAATAAAAGCCATGAAGTGCCACCATTGTCTTTGTCACTGCGTGCCTCTGGCACAGGACATGGCACCACGTAAGCACAGGAAAATATCAATCGAGCAGATGTATGAAATAAAGGGGTAGCTGAGCAAAATAAATGCCGTACATGCAAAATACATGGACACTGGGAGGATCGAACTCCCGACCTCACGCAATCTACGTAATCACCACAGTGCGAAGCGTGCGCGCTACCACTGTGCCAAGTGCCCATTCATGCATAATTATTCTTTAAAACCAGGTCAGGAAAAATCAGTACTATCCTGTTGGGGTTTTATGCCCAGCAGGAAACACTTGTATTCAGGAGAGCTGCAGATACAGGAAGATGGAAGTATGAGAGAAAAATAAAGTACAGTTTGAACATGTATGTAGTTAGATATACAAATATGTCCATTGGCAAATTTAAGAGTAAGTGTTAAACTTACAGGAAGTCCATCATACAAGGGCACTCTAATTATATATGTAGTGTGGCAAACAACCAATCAATTAATCAGAGTTTGACACCACTTGAAAACCTGGTTTGGGCTATGGTGCATGAAGCATATCATAGGCATTTCTGCCAGGCAACCCCCCTTTGAGTTTCAGAGGTTCATGGATATTTTTCATGAGGAAACCAATTATTTAAATCATTCAATAACTGTGATTTTTGAGGTGGCTGTGTTATATTTCAAATCTCAATGGGAAAAAAACTTGGAATCAGAGCTTTAGAATGTTTTGCAATGTGGGCAGGCTATATACAACCCTAATGTATATCCAGAGTATGTTTAACTTTAACTTTGGGCCTTGCCTGAGCCTGTGGTGGCATATTATTTTGCCACTTCAGACCCTTTCGGACCTTATTGTTTCAATTTTTGGTCTGAGACTTCTAAATATTAAGATAATAATTTTTAAGAATTCAGACCATTAATTATAGCTCAAAGGTATTCATTTTCACCATGTTTCATCATAATCAGGCTAAATTTGGTGGTGCCAAATGGATTTCAAACCAACTGTTACCAATCACATCAAGTTGCCTATTTTGAGCTTCTTACACTGTAATGTTGTCACGGTTGTAACTGATATTTTTCAAATAAATTGATTTAATGTGAGAAGTGAAATTGGTAAAGTTTCCAGAATATTTGGGAAGATATAGAACCCCAAAAAATGAGGGGTCATTTAAGGAACTAAAACATTTAGTGGCCTGATTCCTGAGTTATTAATGATTAGCTGATTGACTTAAATCAATCAGAGTCAATCAGCTAATCATTAATAACCCAGGACCCAGAAGACTAAATGTTTCAGCCCCTAAAATGACCCCTCAATTTTGAGGGTTCTCCATCTTCCTAAATATTCTGGCAATTGTATCAATTTTACTTCTCATGCTAAATCAATTTATTTGAAAAGCATCGATTGTGACCATGATAACACTATTTTGGGCTGATCAACTTTATTACAGTGTTCACTGAAGGCTTAAATTTTTAAAAATAGGTGCCTGCATTAAAAGCTCCATTTAATGGTTAAAATTTAAGCTTCTCTATATGAAGGCTTAATCAGGGCTTAACAATGCTGGTTTGGGGCAACATATTTCAGATGAAAATGCTATTTCTTTTCCAATTTTGTTTTTCAAATCTCTATTTTTTCAAAATGGGGAGTATTATGGTGGATGTTTTTACCACCACTTTGACTTTTGTTTCCATTTCCATTTTGATCAAATTTCCCAAAGCACCTTCTAAGCTGCTTCAGAAATTCTTGTTGTTTTGGTTTTGGTTTCACTTGAGTTGAGTCCAGCATGTTTTGTGGACTTTAAATAAATCTCAAAAGAGCTGTTAGGTAGCAATCATATATGCCAGAATTGTATTTATTTTATCTTGTATTTATTTTATCTTGACCCTGTCAAACTTTCATCTGTGATTAAACCTTTTGAGTGAGGCCCAACTTGCAATACTTTGGAGCAGTTTACTATTCTAATGCTTAAAGTGCTGTGTTTGCACAACAATCTCACACTGCCGGATGTTGGAATGTGGAAGCTGAAGAAGGCTCAGATTTTGGATGTTCTGGAAGGTTTCCTTGTATGTCATATTTACAGGCCAATTATCTAAGTCTCTAATAATCACATAGAAGAAGAAACAGGCCCAGTTGACTGCTGTCCCATTGAAATTTCCCAGTTCAGCAGAACCCGCTGAAGCACCTTTGCCCATCAGCGATGAGTACATTGAGGACCTGATAGCAGTGTCACACAAGCAGGCAAATGAGAGACAACCTAATCAGTGGGCTGTTGGAGACGACATGATACATTCCAAAGAATTAAAGTATATACAAAGCTTATATCGCAAACCATGCGCCCATCATAGCATATGGCACCACCAAGCAATCTTAGTGAAGCCAGACTCTGCGTGCAACCCAAAGGGCAATCTTTATCCAAAACTTGTGTGGAGTGTATGTCAAACTGTGTGCAAAGGCAGCAATAGATCTGGAGCCTGTGGCCATGATACCAGTGCAGGATTTGGCATAACAAATTAAATTGCTTGTGTTATCATCATGGCGAACACAAGTGACTTTAATTGAAGGTGATCTACAATAGCACTGTTAGTTAGCGGAAAGATATATAAAGCAGGAAAGGAGATATATGTTTTACAGACAAATACATAAGTGACTTCACCATCCTCCTTGATAATGGTGGGTGGCTTAAAATGGTCATAGACCATTGAATTCCATGATTTAAATTGATTTTCTGCATCACCTGTAAGGGCAACCCTGTGATACTGAGGAAGTCACTCAGTCTAGCAGGGGGAATTCCAAAGATGAATATAAGTGCCTATAATACATGGAAATATGAAATACTAACCTAGCAGGGGGAAATCCAAAGAGAATACTCTGAGGAAAACCCTGCTAGGGATAACAACTATATATGCCAGGCAGGTGTGAGAAAGGACTATACAGTAGGTAAGCTAAGTGAGTGCAACAAGGCTTGTGATGAGGAGACAGGTCTGTAAACATAACTGGAGTTGCATTTGCGGAGTTTGGAGTTGCACAGCCACAGCTGGAGTTGCATGCATGGGGTTGGAGTTGTGCAGCCACAGCTGGAGTTGCATATGTGGAGCCAGAATGGGTGGTCCCCTTACACTGCCAATCAGCCTTGTACTCATGGATATATAGGTAAGGACTTACCAAGAACAGCTTCATTGGACAAAGTGCTGGTCTTAAACTGTTTGTCAAATTTAGCTTGTTTGGAAGATTCCATTGGTGTGGAAGCAGGAGGTGCAGGAGAAGACATTGCTAAGGGATCAGCTGCATCCTGCACTGATGATATGCTGGAAGCAGGGCCATCATTGAGCTTGTTTGTTCAAAGGCATGGTCAATGTGGGAGAAAGACTGAACTAGTTCAGTCTCTAGCTGTTTATATGCTTCAGATGCTGTATTTTACAGTCCCCCACAGGTTTCCATGGACTCCCCATGGACTCCACATAGTCCACATAAAGTCCTCATGGACTCTACAAAGTTCATATAAAGTCCATCTAAAGTCCCTATAAAGTCCACATGAACTCCTCATGGACTTCACAGACTCTTCATGGACTCCACATAGACTCCACATAGACTCCTCATGGACTCTTCATGGAGTCCATGAGGACTCTGTGGACTCTCCATGGACTCCTCATAAACTCCATGAAGAGTCCATGAGGTGTCTATGTGGAGTCCATGGAGTTTAGATGGACTTTCCCCTTTAACAGCATAATAATGAACACTTGGTTCTCAGGTAAGTGTTTCACTCCTTGAGGAATCCACATGAAGTGTATGAAGACTCTATTAGAAATTGAAAAAAATCTTGTCAATGCATTGACTTTCATTCAGGACAAGACTTGTATTACATTAAAAAACCTAATGTGATTTGAATATGAATGCTTAAGGATTTTGCAAAACTATATATATATTTACAGGACTGTAATGCAGTAAGTTCCCTGCAGCCAATAATCAACCACCATAGTCAACATATTATTGTGCTGAACAAAATTCCTTCATACCTTCCAAGTCATAGATGCCCAAGTTCAATTTTAATTATTATTGTAAGTCTATTTAAATTCCTTATTTTTTGTTTGTGGATAAAAAATATTGTTATTTAATTATAATATACAAAGTAATTTAACAATAATACTGTATTTTACAGTCCCTCACGGGTTCCCATGGACTCCTCATGGAGTCCTCATAATCCCCCAAAAGTCCTCATGGAGTCCTTGTGGAGTCTCTGTGAACTCTATAAAGACTCCACCCAAAATCCACAGATTCTATGGAGAGTCTATGAATTTTGGGTGGACTATGATAAGTTTGGTGAAATCTACCCTTGTAGGAGTGTAATAATCAGTACTTGTCTTAGCTCACTTTTTTAATGCTATCATACCTTCAAACAAATACATTTTACATTTTGCAGAGTCATATACTTACAAACTCCTATCCTATCCTTCCTCATTCTTGAAAAGTCACTTAAGAGTGTTATTCACAATGGCAAAATTATTATTATTATTATTTTAACTACTTACAACATAGGCAGGTACAACATATATAATAAATAAAATATAAAATAAACCCTCCTGCATCAAGTGCAGGAAAAGAGGTTGTTGTTGAGGTGCTACTAATGTGTCATATTCAGTGGCGGAGATCATGGTGAAAAAAAGTAGGGGAACATACCATTGTCATTGTCGGGGTATGTTGTTACCTGTGGTAGTGGGTGGAATTAGTAATAAATAAAAAGTGGGGGGAGGGAGGGGCATACCATCATCACCATTGCATGTAGTTACCTGTGGTGGGGGGTGGGGATCAGTAATAATAATAAAGTGGGGGAGGGGGGTACATACTGTTGTTGTTGTTGTTGTTGTTGTTGTTGTTGTAGTGTGTCATTGCCTGTGGTGTTGGGTGGGATTAGTAAATATACATTAAAAAAGATGGGGGCAGGGTATGTAGCCTGTCCCTGCCACCCTGCCCATTGTCACCTTCCTTGTCATTGTTCGTCGTCATGGCCATGCGCTGTCATCACGTTGTGAATTTGATTTACTGTTTCATAACAGTCAATCACAGGCTAGCTGGTCCAGAAAAAATGGTCAAGCTTCACCTGCTGTTCATAGGTGGGGAGGTTTGTTTTGTATGTATGGTTTTTCTACATACAGACTTGGGGACAATTGTATGTAATCTACTGCTACTGACTACAAACTTGCTGGACTGATTTCTTGATGACCTTGATGTC